TAGCTAAGCGATCCAGGGATTTCTCTGTATTGTTATCACGTGATATTAGGAGTTCGCCAGTTAGCCGGGCGAACAGGCGAAGTTAGCCGGTTCGATTGTCGAACGAGCGAACATCGAGAGAACGAAGGTTCTATATAAGACTGGCACGTCTGCCATTAGATAGGAGATTCGTGCTCAACTTAGTTATCAATCTTATCATATTAGTTTGACATCTTTGATACAAGTAACGAGTTCACTTCCAAGTGAACAACCCGATAGTCTTCTTCTTATCATAGCATACCAACCAGCGAACACCCAGCCAAGTTTAGTTAGCCAGTTTGAGTATTCGTTACAAGTCTAAAGAGGAGTTTCTAGTAAAAAAGAAGATAACTCCCTAACGAAATACCTGTAAGGACCCCAAACGCTTTAGTTAATATTTATAGTAATATAAAGGAAATAATCCTAAGCTTATAATAGTAGGTACTAATATATAAGATAACTAGTATAATTAAAATAATAATAAAAATAAGCAGAAAGCCTTTATAAATAAAACTTCTTAAGTTATATAAAAAACTATAACTTATAGAATAATATTCAGGTTAATATTCTAAAAAATACTAGATTTAGAAAAAACAAAGTAAAATTACGATTTAAGGTAAGTTATAAGATAAACCTACATATAAGTTACTACTAAAAGTGTGACGACACGTACGAGATGTTGCTCAGAGAGCGTCCAAGGTGTAGGTTATGGAATCGTAGAACTGTCTATTCGAAGATTCTAAGCTAAAGAGAGAAGAGAAGAAAGGACAGAAGTCCAGGAGCTGGAAGCTCTTATATACAGGAGGGGTACCAAGGGTTATAGCTAACCGAGCCGGGCTCGGGAAGCACGGCGGCCGACGGGTGCCAGCCAGGGGCTGGTTTGAGGCATGGTGGCGGTGAGAACCGTCACAAAAAGATATCCTAGGTTACTTAAGTTAATATATTTATATCTACCCTATAAAATAGTATTATAAGTACTAGATTTAATTTTACTCTTACTATTATTAACTTTATTCTTACTCTTCTACTAATATCTAAAGGTTTTAATTATATACTTTTAGTAACGTGCATGTATAGCGAACCGGCCAAACAAGCGAACCGGCCAAAACCCGGCGACCCCACCACACCTCCACGAAATATTAAATTTCTCTACAACGAAGGATGCCTCTGAAAAATGACGAAAGCCGGTTAGTCTTAGCTATCCAAGCTATGCAAAAAGACCCAAATTTACGTGCTCGAGCTGCTGCCAGGACCTATTCTGTAGACCACCGGAAGCTAGGTCGACGTTTGCTTGGTATACCTTCACGACGCGATATTTTAGCCAATTCACGGAAAATGACCGAGCTAGAGGAATCAGTACTTGTTCAACATATCCTCGACCTAGCTACAAAAGGATTTCCTCCGCGGATATCTGTAGTTGAAGATATAGCAAATCGACTTCTTGAAGCACGCGACGCGCCACGCGTCGGGACGCGTTGGGCTTATAACTTTGTTAAGCGCCGCCCAGAACTCCAGACACGCTTCCAACGAAAATACGACTATCAGAGAGCTAAGTGCGAAGATCCAGAAGTCATTCGTGGCTGGTTTGAGCTTGTACGAAACACAATAGCGAAGTACGGAATCTACGATGCAGATATCTACAACTTTGACGAGACTGGGTTTATGATGGGCGTTATCTCAACTGCAATGGTTATTACAAGCTCAGAAGGACGTGTAAAAGCAAAAAGAGTACAGCCTGGTAATCGGGAATGGGTTACAGTAATCCAGGGGGTTAATGCCCAAGGCTGGTGTGTTCCACCGTTTGTGATTGTTGCCGCAAAAAATCACCTCGCTTCTTGGTACCAAAACAGTGGATTTCCACCTAACTGGGTGATTGCTATTACTGAAAATGGTTGGACAACAAATGAGAAAGGCATGGATTGGATTCGACATTTTGAGAAGCATACAAAGTCCCAATCTATTGGTGGTTATCGTCTATTAGTCCTCGACGGCCATGAAAGCCACCACTCCGACGAATTTGAGGAATATTGCAAGGAAAACAACATTATCACTCTTTGTATGCCTGCTCATTCTTCTCATATACTCCAGCCACTCGACGTTGGCTGTTTTAGCCCTTTGAAAAGGGCATATGGTCAGCAAATTGAAGATATGATGCGGGCTCAGATCATCCATATTACTAAGGATGATTTCTTTCCTGCCTTCCACGCCGCATTTAATATTGCAATGACAGAAAGCAATATCCGAGGAGGGTTCCGAGGGGCTGGGCTTCTTCCATTTGACCCAGAAAGTGCAATTTCTACACTTGATCTTAAGCTAAAGACGCCAACGCCTCCAAACTCTCCCCCGTATTCCGCTCAGCCTTGGGTTTCCCAGACACCAAATAACCCTACTGAAGCCTTATCACAGACTGCATTTATCAAAGATCGAATTTTACGCCACCAAAGTAGCTCTCCAACCCCTATTTACGAGGCCATTGACCAGTTTACGAAGGGTGCATCAAAAGTAATGCACCAGATAGTACTATTGAAAGCTGAGAACCAGAGACTTCGACAAGCAAATGAAGTACTAAGTAAGCGCCGTAGAGCTAAAAAAACACGCCTACAGCAGGAGGATCACTTAGTCAACAGGAAGCGCAGGACCTACAGGATGATAGAGACGTTGGTGAGCAGGTAATGCAGGAAATAAAGAGAAGTAGTGGTCGGAAGCCGAGGGAAGAATCACGTGCACGGCGCTGTGGCAACTGCGGAGAGACTGGTCATAATACGCGCACCTGTGATATTATAGAGGAAGTATCTGAGGAAGAAATTTCTGAATAGTGTTTTTTAATTAGAGGCGTTGTGGTAGAGTTCTTACAATTTCAATCGCGAGTGTGGAAAATTTTGGCCGGTTCGCTTGTTTGGCCGGTTCGCTATACATGCACGTTATAAGTTATATATTTTTAGTTTATCTCTTCTACTACTATTTATTCTACTAAATATAAACTTTTTAATATATACTCGAGAGGAGAATTTATATAACCTTATAATATAGTTAAATAGGTAAATAGAGAAGGTAAAAACAAGTCTTACATAGTTGTAGCTTATATATATAACTTACTACTAAAGAGATTTTAGTCTACTAGGCGGTTAGTCGAATAAAGAAGAAGAGGCTTAATAAGGATGGTATGTATAACTCCTATAAGTTAATAGAAATAATAGGATCCTAAATAACGTATAATAGGAGGCTATTAGATAGTACTATTATAATTAGTAGGAACAAGGTCTAGGAGTAATTTATTCGATAGTATTTATAGTAATCCTAAACTTTTAATAAGCTTAAGAACTTTCTAATCTATCTCGGTCCTAGTTTAATAAATAGATTAAATAATATCTAGACCTCTATATAATTAAGACGAAACTAATTATATAAGTTATATATAACTTAATACGTATATAGAGAAGGAGGTAAAGAATTAGTTCTAAGACTACCAATCTATACTATATAAATATAATATTTACTATAAGAAATATATATTAAATATAGATAAGTCTAGAGTTTAAGTTAGGTATATAGGAAATAAGTAGGTTATAGTACCCTCGAGTATAAAAGAGTTATATACGTTAAACCCTAAAAATCGTAAGTCGGTTATAGTAATCAAGATAACAACTATATACGGTCGGAAACCTCTTCCTTTATTTATGATAGCGCCCGGTTATAAAATTATAGAGAATTAGATTTCCTTAGAGCTTATTTGTGACGGTTCTGACCATCACGTGGTGCCGCTTAGCGACCCACACCATGTATGTAGACTCGAGCTCCCTCGAGCTCTCCTCTTCTCTTCAGCTTAGAATCTTCGAATAAGACAGTTCTACGATTCCATAACCTACACCTTGGACGCCCACGGGCAACATATCGTACGTGTCGTCACATTATTAGTAATAAGATAATATTATATTCGCCTAACTTATAGGATATATTAATGATACTCTAATTATAGAATATACCGACTATTTAATTTAGTATTTAGGTATAGAACTAAATAAACTATAGTAAATACTCCTTTTATATAGATATAAGTCTTATTATCTCATAAAGTTCTAAATTAAGTCACTTATACTAATAATAATATTATACTCTTTTATTTCCTTTTATATTTAACCTATATTCTATAACCTCTTAGTATTAGTATTTTTAGACTATAGAAGTACTACTGTAAACTTATAATATCTTAGGCCCTCTATAACCTTAAATTCGAGTATAGTATTTCCTTTTTCTTCTATAATCTTTAGAGAATTTAAAAAGATATAATAAAGTAGTATATAATCGAGGGTATCTAGAAAAACTCTAGTATATAACTATTAAGAATCTACGAAAGGTAAGGAGTAAACTCGACAAGGCGGTTAATAAGGAGGAGACTCTTCTTGAGGTATAAGGTGTTTAAGCTTATAAAGATAAGAGGGCTCGAAAGACTTACTAAGGTTTAAATAATTATAAGTAGTTTACTACTACTACTAGACGTTAAAATATAAGACCTTAAAAAGTAACCTAACGTTTTTAAGCTAGCTTAATTATAAGAGGATTATTATAAGTCTCTATTATAAAACCTTTAAGAGATTAAAGTATAACCTTTACTAAAAGACCTAGATAATAATAATAATAGTAAAGTATTAAAGGATTAACCCTACTTTGTTAAAGTTTAAATTACCTTGTCCGAGATCTACTAGTATCGATATAGTTAATCCTTAATCGTCCGATTGATCGAGTATAGTGTTAATAGATTTAATTACACGGAATATAGATTTTATAAGTCTTGAGTAGTATTTGGTTAGGAGGTAGTTACTTTTGTATATAATTTTAGGTGTAGTTTATATAGTAATTTAATGTTCCGAGGAAACGCTGCGCCGACTTTACACTTGCTTCCGCTTTATACTTGCTTCCGCTAACTATAAGCGAATGCGCCGTAGGAAGAGCACTGACTATTAATCCTATGATCGTTCACTAATGACTAATTTAACCATAAGAAATATAAATCCTGCTACAAAGACTTAATCTTTATAGACTCCAAGGTCAAGTAGTACGATGCACATTAATAAACTCAGATAGGAACACGGCGATTTCAGTGAAATATAATGCTCAGCAAGTACTCTTGATTCTTCTATGTAGGTTATCTATTACTGAGCGATTAATCCCCATCACATCCACGAGTCCTCCCAGATTCTTTTCCTGTTGCCACTCTTACATAGCTCTGCAGCGAGGACGACCACGCTCAAGGATATTTGGATCACAGGTGAGTTTTGCATCAGCAACACAGTTAAGTGCTCCGTTGCCTATCAAATCTTATTAGCAAAGCACATCCAACATTTCAAAGTTCGAATACTTACATTGGACGCCCTCCTTGTCACCTGGAACACATCTTCCAGTCGTTCCCTCGGTGTTGCAAACATCCTGCTTCAAACTTGTGTTTGGGACACAGCAAGTCCCATTAGGAACGGGTCTGTTTTCATTTTGACGAGCTTCCAATGATCGGTTCTCGTTGAAGGGAGCGAGGGCGGTCGCGAGGGTGAAGAGAGCGAAGACGCTGGTGGCAATTGAAAAACGCATATTGATGGTTGAGGGAGTGGTGATTGAAGTTGAGCTTTGTGGTGTGATGAGAATGACCGACCGGCGGAACGAATGAATAGAATGAATCGAAGAGAATGGAATTGATGCTGATGAGTTGAAAAAACCTAGTGGCAGACCAGACCTTTTACTTATATCAATTGGCACACGTACCAACACCTGGTCCGAGTTCAACGGACCCATCAAAGAAAAGTGATATTTCATCCCATCCGTGCATCTTGTACCAGACATTGGCAAGAATACACGAGTGATTGATCGTCGTCCGGAGGGGAAGCCCCTGTGACGTTTCGGTAAGTATACCCCACAATCCAGACTTCGCTTGATTGGCTGTGCGGATGACTTGCAGACGTCGGGTATTCATCAGAACGCCTGGAGCAGTTTTCTCGACTCCAGTTTTTCCTGGAGGTTTCCCCTTTTGGCTTCTCTTCTCGTCTCATCTGAAGTCCAGTGGATGGATCCCAGCTTTACCAAGCACCTGGTTGTCAATTATGAAGTGAAACCGGTCATTCTTCTTAAGACTTCGAAAAAACTTTTATCCTCCCACTGCTCTCAGGTGTCAAAAGTCGAAATCAGTCTAACAGCTGACGCACCTCGTTTCTTTGGGCCTCCCCACATTATCAACCAAGCGAACATCAACTTCTTACCCAGGGCCAGGCTATAGTCAAACCTGGTTAATAGAAGATGTTCCTTCAAGACGTCTCTTGGGAAGGTGGTAAGGTATCAAATCGAGACGAATCTGTTTGTTTACTCCATATCGGGAGATCCGTGTTTACGAACTAGTCTTGATATCGGTGATTCAGTGGTAGAAGAAACATCATGCGTTGATTACTGCCCTCTCCACTTAATATCAAAACTGTAGGAGACACTGAAGAAGTACATATTCAGACTACACTTTACTTCAATCTCAATCATGCCTATTATATGGATAAATAGCTACATCCACGATCTATAAGTCAAAAACATACACTATTATCTTTCCAATCTAATCCTACATAAAATCAAACACCATACATATACTCCACAATATTATCCCCATCATCCAACTCCCACACCCTCCCCTGATCCCGTGAAATCTCCAAAAACCTCTCCGCCCTCCCCCTCACCGCCGGCTCCGCAGCAAAAGCCGCAAACGCCGCCTGATCCTCCTCAAACATCGCCATGGTAGGTTTCTGCCGCGCAACCGACCTCTTAGTCGCCCTAATCGCATCCCCCTCAAACTTCGCAATCCTCCTAACCAATCCATCAACATACTCCCTCAACCCCTCCACGGTAGCGAACGCGAAATGAACCCACCCAACTCTCGCAGCCTCCGTGGCATTCACCTATGCAGACGACAACATAAACTCCATCGTCCGAGACGGCCCAATCGATTCAACAAGCCACTGTATCGCACCCACGTGGAACACACCCAGCGCTGCTTCCGGGGCGCCGAAAAAGGCGCCGGGGCCTGCGAACCGCATGTCCATCTGCATGAGATGCTCATCTCCAGCTCCCCAGGTGCGTCCGTTGATTTCGGCGACGAAAATCACGGGGAGGGATTGGAGAAGCGTGAGGTTTTCGAAGTAAGTGTTTAATGCATCTTTTGCGTTGATGGGCGGTGCGACGGGGTGTGCGGCGCTGAGGAGGTGTAGGTCCAGGTGGCTGATGTAGAAATCTGGGAGGTCGCTGGAGATGACGATGATTTTGGGGGTGGATGCATGGGTGTTGTTGAGTGAGAGGAGGTAGGTGTTGAATTCGTAGATTAGCTGGGCGGTCCAGAGGTTTATTGGGGGGTTTGAGATTGTGAGTCGGGTTGCGGTGCAGTCTTGGTTATGCATGTCTTTTTTAGAAGCTGGTATGGAAAATCGTCTTTGGGGATGATTGGGGAAACGGGACTTGCGTAAACTAAAGTCGTGAGTCCGAGGGATATGACTCCTAGGAGGGTGCTTAGACGAGCCATTTTCTGTTATAATAAGCAGGAATGGAGGTTGAGAATGAGTTGATACTAGTTGGTTTAATATCTTTATATACTCCGAATACATTCTAAAAGCGAGAGCTTTCACAACTTCATCGGAGTTAAGTTATTAATCCTCAAGACCAAGAAGGCGTCAGCTTGTTACTGCCTGTATTGGAAGTGATGGAGGATTGATTACAATAGGGTTGTTAAATTAGATATAATTTAAATAAATTATCTATAATTATTAAATTAGGCGATTATCTGAAAATAAATTATTTATAAATTATCTGCATCACGTGATGTATATAGGGCCGAAAATCTCTCTAAAGTCCCTAAGGGGAAACCCGTTCAAACTTAAAAGAGCGCTCATATAAATAAAAGAAGAAGTCAAAGTAACAACAAGGTAAAACACGAAGATTAGCTGCGTAGTTAATTCTTAGAATTAAGTAATTTTTTACATGTAATTTTAGTAGCCTTGTCAGTGATTTTAGCCTACTTCTATACCCTTATTTACCCCTTATTCACCTCCTAAATACTCTTTATTCATTGCTAAAACCTAATATTAGACCCTAAATCTTTAATTATCATAAATTAGACAAAAACAAATTATAATTAGATTATCTAAAATTAGATCCCACAACCCTAGATTACAATTACCTCGACTGACGTGCGTTAAAGCCGATTTTAGCGAGGTGCTATGTCGCTTACAGTACCTTTCACACTTTTGCCGTTCATGAATACCACAACCTCCACGTCAAGACAGATAATTAGTAAGTAATTGTTACTTCAATCACACATACGTTTACTAATAATTATTTCAACTGATCTTAGGAGCGTAAAGCAATATCGGGAAATCTTGACCTTGGAACGAGAAATTACTACAAACTATCAGTATCTACCGTCTTGTAACGAATACTCAAACTGGCTAACTAAACTTGGCTGGGTGTTCGCTGGTTGGTATGCTATGATAAGAAGAAGACTATCGGGTTGTTCACTTGGAAGTGAACTCGTTACTTGTATCAAAGATGTCAAACTAATATGATAAGATTGATAACTAAGTTGAGCACGAAGCTCCTATCTAATGGCAGACGTGCCAGTCTTATATAGAACCTTCGTGTTCCTGAAGTCGACCTGCATATATCACGTGACTTGTATACAAAGAAATTCCTGGATCGCTTAACTAACCTAAGCGATCCCTTTTTGCTATAAGAGCCATGATGTGTGTCCTGTCAGAACCCCGTCTGGACTAACTCCTCACGTGCTAGCACGTGATTTGTGACACGTCTTATCCTTCAACTAGACATTCCACCCAGCCTACTATCATTAGCTCTAATCAAAGAGTAGCCTAGAAACTTGACACTCAGCAAGAAACAAGTTGAAAAAGGAATTGGCTCGTTTGTAAGTTATTAGCTCAGATATATATAGCTAGAGCAACCACTCCTCTTAAACTACATAAACTACACAATAACCAAGAAACAAAGAAAGAAAGAAAGTCTCCTCAAGTATCCTTACATCTCATTAACTAAAATATATCTCCAGCGATAATCCATTCTACATCCCATCGTAACTGAGACCCCTGACTCATTCACTCACTCACTCACTCACTCACTCACTCACTCACTTCCATGACCTCCCCTCCCCCCCGCTCCATACCTTCTAACCTCTCCCCTCCCCCAATGCCTAGATCACCAAGGTATACGCACATAAACGTACTCTGTAAGCTGCCTGTCCATTCCAAAAAACAGAACCCAAGGACCGGAAACAAAAAAAACAAAAAAACATTAAGAAATCCCACTAATGTACCTCAGGAACCCTCAGAAATCCGAAAAGGGGAAAAAGCAAAGGAGAAAATTCATGTATTAGCAACTCATACTAGTAAAGATATCCATCCACCCACCAACCCCCATTCATTATCTGCCGTAATTTTACTACTCCAACAACCCAACAACCCCAACAACTACAAAACACGAAACTTCAAAACTTCAAATTCTCAAACCAAACACCCGCTTCCCCCTCTATTTCCATTTTCCCATCCCCCGCTCCCTCAAATCAAAACCGCTGCATCATTCATTCATCAAGTACCAAGTTACACAATCATAAATCATCCTCATCAACATCCCACTTCTTCGACGCCAACTTCCTAACCTTCTTCAACGGACTCCCATTTCCCGGCATCTTCAGCTCCGGCAATCGGGAATTCCTCTCACTAGAAGTAGAAAAACTCAATCGTTCCATACTGCCTCCCAAATCCGTCATAGCCTTATTCGTCTTGCTCTCCCTCAACGGAATCCGCTTACTGGGACTCTTACACTGCATTTCTCTTCTCAGCAATTCAACCTCTCTTTTGAGCCTCTCGTTTTCCGCCTCAAGATCGTCATTTCGGGTTTCTCCAGGGTGGAAGTTTTCTTTGTTCTCGGATCCTAGGACGTCGAGGTCCATGGTTTTGGACAGGATCTCAAGTTTGCGGTCGAGATGCTCACCGTTACGATCTGCTTCCGCGGCAAAACTAGCCTTCCACCTACGCATCTCAATCTCCATCTGCTTCTCCATTTCCGAGAAGACTTCTTCCCGGATATCCATCTCGATATCGGCCATCCGCTCACGCATACTCTCAAGATGCGCTTCCGACTCGCACCGTCTGTCTTGCTCGTCTTTTAACTCGGCTCTCAGACCATCAATTTCTTCACTCATCCGAGCAATTTCCAGCGCTGCGATTTCCATGGTCTCCCGTTCACTGTCAGATGGAGTGGTTCGTCCTCCGCTAGCGGTTCGGGTATGCGTTTGAGAAAAGTAATGCGATACTGTTGATTGAGCTATGATAGTTGAACTTACAGACGGAATCCGAGGGACGGTCACCTCTCGAGCGAGGGCAGAATATCGAAGGATTTGAGATGTGGCATTAAAGTCGCCAAGCGGATCGGCTGTAACAATCATAATACCTTTCTGTGGATTTCGGTGGTGGGATTGTGATTGTGAGTGTGAAGCCGTTGACGAAATAGATGAGCTTGGGAATGAATTGGAGAACAAAAGTTCCGTGAGTTTACATTGTCGGAATGGTACAAGATTTGGCTTTGATCGATTAGTATGTTACTACTCGAAGCCATAAATAAAGAAACATACCTTTACGGAATTGCCAATATCGGACTGCATTTGAAGACATTGTCCCAAATACATCAAACTTTCGTTAATCTTACCAGCCTCTTGCAACGTAGCTCCAGCCGTTTTGGCATCTCTAGCTCTCTCACTCCCAGCCAAATCAACAACCGTAAGAGCGCTGCCTCCCCAAGAACTAGGCATTCGACTCCTCCTTCTCTTCTTTACCTCCACGCAAAAGAATCCGTGGGATCTCGAGCTGACACTGTTCGATCCTGTACCTGCAACCCTTCGCTCCGTCAATCCGGCCTCTAGTACTAGCAACGCCTCTCTCATAGTACCACAAATAATCTTTCGCAATCCGGTAACGACCTTTCGATCGGGGGATTGCTCTGTGGGTTTAAACAAGAGGGGTCTTCTTCGATAATCCTTTGTAGACTTATTCGGCGAGGCAGGCGTCAACAAATCAAATATCCGATCATTATAAACCTCATACATCGAAATGAGAATCGCGTAATCGGAATTGGGATCGATGTCAACCGTCAAATTACCTATATCCGGAAGCTGGGGTATGACGGAAGGCCGTTGGAGAAGGTGTCTTCGCGGAGTAGGTGGTGGATACGAGTCGCCCTTGAAGTCAAATTTAGTAACGTACTTTCTAGCTATGGCCGCCGTGGTTTGCATGTAAGAAGGGAGATGGGACAATGTCGACACTGTCGAGGCGAGAATACTATTTTCTGCCATTGGGGTCCTCACGAATCGGATACTTTTAGGACTTCCTGCTGGGTCGATTGGGAGAGAGGGGTACGAGACTTCGGAGTCGGGATGATGCTCAAGATCATGGTCTGCAAATAAAGGAGTGCGCTTTACCATGGGTGTATGTGCTCGAGAGCTGCTTCCGCGGGATGCGGAGGGATCGCCAAACATAGTATCGAGAAACATTTGAGCAGACATGACTTGTGCTTCGGAAGGGTCTGACGCAGCGACTGTGGCATGTACAGAGGTATTCGTGCTGGGGTCAAGGGTGTTGTTGGAGATGGAACGGAAGAGCACATCGAGTGCTAATTGAGTGAGACCTCTTTGCGATCGGGATCCTAGTATTGTATGACTCTGCCATGATATCAGCATACTATTTTTTCACTAGAAAAAAGAAGAAACTCACCTTCCCGGAGCCAGTCACTCCCAATGTTGCTAATAACCCATCTCGTCCATTGCCACCTTGAGCCCCCAGGACTCCCTCCACCAGAGGCAATACCCCAGTGCCATGGAAGACATCCAATTGTGTTGCATCCTCCTCAAAGACCTTTGTAAATGCAAACTTCTCGACGGCGCGTCTTCTATTCTCGTTGGGAGGGTTTAGCGTGATGTGCGTGGGGAGTGCATCTTCCTCGTCCACGTCTTCCACGGCCAAGAATCTGTCCGGCGGAGTTGTAGAATGTTGAGAGCTTGACAATGGAGGAGGTCGTAATCGTAGGTAGACCTCGAACAACGACGCATGGGACTTGGTTTGCTGCTCCATGATTATCGTGTCGTGTCGTGTGTTGTTGTCTTGAACTGACTTGAAATTGTCGCGCTGCTGGAAATTTATTATGTCGAGGTGTTGAGAGTAAACACACCAGCCACAATCCCAAAAAGGGGTCCTGGCAACAGACTAGCAACCAATCAAGATTACATGTACTGCACACTCGAAAAATGCAGTGAAGAGTGAGAATATTATCAACTCAATAACCTAAGGTAGTTCTATTCTAATTTGCTAATATATACTGAACAGACCCGAATTATATTCATTACATCATCGATATGCTGCAATTCTAAGGAGGGCCGTGATATCATAAAAGTCGTGGTGATATATCCAATATTGCCCTACGACATTCTTCTTCCCCTCTAATTCTGATGACCCAAACTGAAGTGCATGTTGATTAATCAAGAGTCTGTGGTTGCTTCAGACCTCCCTTTCTTCCTGCCTAATAATGTCTTCTTCCTCCCAAGTGATCCATCGCCGGCAACCAATCCTGCAGCTTTTGCTCTCTCATCTGCGTAACCTTGTCTTCTCAGCGCCCGCCCCTTTTCAATGGTCTCCTGACTCAAATGACCAAATCCATTCCTACGCTTGAAGCATGCAGTCAGAAGCGCATTGGCGTCCACCAATTTACGTGGAATGGTTTGCACCACTTGAAAAATTTCCATCGGATCGCTCACAGCCCTGATCTCCTGTTCGCCAACCTTGAAGATGGTCAATGCTATCCGGAATAAGGTCTTGCTACCTTCGTAGAAGAAAGAGTCCCAAACTCTCAAGGTGGTCTCAATGGGAAGAGTACCAATGAAACATGACATAAACCAAGCGGTCGTGCACAAGGTGATTGGTGGTAATCGCATAGAAACTCTCCCATCACCAGCAGTACCGTCAAGCTCCCCACCAATCTTCGCCCAAATTGCAGGCATCATATCCTTGACACTAATCATCAAAACTCCAAGATCAACATTGGCCCCCTCGAGATTAAGCTCATGCGTCCCCGGTAGATAAACCCGAGTAATGATATTGAGCATCCAAAACGACTTTTCCTCTTCCATAAATAATAGCAATAATCCGGCAAGAAAGTTAAGAGACTGGCAATAACCGATTTTGGGATTGTAGATAGCAAATGCTTGCAAAACACGTCGAAGTGATTGTAAAATGGGAGTTTCAGACACCGCGGGGGCAAGTGTATCCTCGCCTGGTAGAGGGTCTGGCTTGAATCTGATGTTGTCAGGAAACGTTCGATTGAGATCTCGCTCAATAATTTCATCATCCGTCTCACTGACTCCTCCATTGGCTGCTTTCTGCATCAAGTCGTCGTATACTCCTTGGTGCTTTTGTAGCATGGCGGGTCCACCAGCGTAAAAGAACCAGGCAGCCCCTCTCCAATCTGGAGGTATTCCTTTTCGAACAAATCGTTTCACCTTGTCAAATTTTGGTGGGAATACCTGAGGATTCTCCGATGGCAACCCACTGTCCTTCATCAGAGCCACCCATTTCTTCCGCCGTCGAACAAGATGCTCGGTATATGGTCCATTCCAGGCTTCAAATTGAGCCACTGGTACATGCTGCGTATTCTTGCGAAACCCGTAACGATCTCGCGTGTCATCCCAAGTCGTCGGTGCTGCTCTCGTGGTTGGGCGACTGACAGGCTGAGAGCTCTGCTCAGGTACCTTTACTTCCAACGTATCGGCTGGCTTTCCCACTTTTTCCTCAGGGATAGAGGAGCCGGCGTCATCAATAGTACTAGCTCGAAACATGGCCATGGAATCCCGTACCAGAGGCTGTGTTGGCAGCGCCAATTGATCATTCATGGCCTCCTCCAGCATTCGTGTCCGGTTTCCCTCCGAGTCCCTACTAGTCCCACGCCTCGATACCGCATCGTCTGTGCCAGAATCTTGGAAACCTCCTTCATACATCCCAATCGCATCATCTACGCTCATTCCTTCTTCTCTTCCTTCTGGTCTCTCGAATATCGAGGTGGAACTACTCTTGGTCATTATGCTGCTCCTTTCCGTCCCACTGGCCATATAACTCGAATTCGTCGTAAGAGCCGATCGAAAACTAGCCCGCACCTCTTCACTGTCGTCTGTTCTTGAATGAACCATTGGATCTCGCCGATGGGCCGAGTAGTTGCTGTCGGCCCGACTGACGACTCTGCCTGGTCGATAGGAGGAGTTGTTGTTCAAGTTTCTCTGTCTTGAATATACCGAGTCCGGAGTTTGATAGTCGGGGATGGAGGCTGAGGGTCGCAGTTGGAAAGCGGGAAGGTTGCTGGCAACGGATTGAGCGGAGCTCGAAGACAACCCGCGGTCGCGGAGAGACGAGGAGTAGAGGTGGTTCTGATCGTTTTCTTGTGCGTGTTCTCGGACTGGGAAGGTGGAGGAGGCTTGAAGCATTGGTCGTGGTGATTCGTTCCTGCTTCGTACGGAAGGTTGCCGCGGACGCGAGAAGTTCTCGACCACCATGGTATCGGGAGTTCTTCTTCCCTCTGAAGAATGTGACCGGTACCCATTATTCAGAGCTCGTAACCGCGATGCCTCGGAGGGTCTCTTATGCAGTCTCTCTTGTGATCCGGGACGGGGGTAATTGACAGGTGGAGGGTGATGTGACTGCGGAGAGGGAGTGACTGAGCGTGGTTGCAGTTCGTGATTAGATTGATAATAGGATTGGGACGTCGAAGGCCTCCGAGAAGTTGGGGCGGAATGACCATGTTCTTGCTCATAAGGAGTAGCAGTAGCAGGTCTGGGAGGTTGGATGCCCGGATAATTGGTAAGAGGGTACAAAGATTCTTGAGAGCCCGTCTGTAGCGACTGTGAATGCTGTCGAGATGGTTGTTGGGGTAGTGGTAGTCGCTGGCCTCGAAACGAGGCGGTGGGCGAAGGAGGAGGTCTAGTGTTGGAGTTGGCCGTTCGAGGTCGCGGCTGGGAATTGGGATTGTGATTGTGATTGGGATTGGGATGAGGATGGGAATTCGAATTCGGATATGCGTTTGGTCTGGTGGGATACAGACTGAGTTTCATGGTCTGCTGGTTGCGCTGTCGGTCGTCAACCTCGAGATGAGCCGCCGATGCCACCATGCCCATCCCATTGACACCCTGTGCCATGCTCATCGCGGTGAGTGTTGCTCAACCTTTCACCCTTTTCCAGATGCCTCTCGTCCTCCCTCCCTCGCGTCCCTCCAGTGGAAGGCCTCTGGCCTACGGTGCAGCCTCCACCAGCGGCCTGGCTACCAATTCCGTGAGCTCCGTACTCGACGCTCTTAAGCCATATGTGGGTGTGTCGTTGAGAATGTTGGCTACGAAACACCTGCACAATCAACACCAACACTGACAAACCGGTAGTGTGGGGAACTGCAGGTGGACTCGGAGGCGGGAGATGGGTGTTGGCACCATACAATTCGAGTGCAAGTCTTTGAGCACTTGATACTGGAACAATCAAAGAACCTGCCGACTAGATCTAGACTATAGAAACCAATAGAGGGCGTAGAATGAGTGTACAGTTCAGGTTAAAGTATAAGCGAGTGTGTAAGTCGACAGAACGCAAACCCAAAGTTGACAGCGTACTCGTAGCGAACGATTATTTACCTTTGACCACGACGTCGCAGGTTTCCCTCGGTTGCTTTGGTTGGCGGCAGAAGGTGTTTCGCTATGATCACGTTTAGAGGATCAGACTGGATCAGACCCAGGGCACTGATCCACCAACAAGAGCGAGCGGCCAGCGACCCGAGCCAAGCTTAGCCAGCAGGTAGCTGGTACTCGTCTAAATTTACCTGCTCGTACCCTGCTCGTATATTGTCTGGGATCGGCAGTGAGGAAGTGAGATGTGAATGATTACGTGCCTCTATTTTATGAGCAGCGTTATGTATAATTTCCAAAGGTGATTGGATATGATCTGTCAAGATTACCCCCCCTACCTACATAGACTATAGGTACGGTGCTATAGACATGAACCATGAGCAAGCCACGCAGCGTGGGAGCACCCAGATCTCCAAATGTAACATTCAAACCTGGAATGGGATGCAAGATGATTATCACACTACCCCAGATTTTATCAAACATCGTGAAGAAAGAAATACTTTAGTGCAATACCCTATCTCAGAGATACGAGAGCTGGAGAAGCTATAAGTCCGAGTACTACTCGAGTAGCTCGCTCGGTAAGTACAATCCAAAAAAGGGGGAGAAAGCACAGAACCAGCACCGAACAAACGGCACACGACACCCCATCCCACTTCTACATAATCAACGGATTCCAATCCCGCATCTAGGATACCCATCCCCATCCCCATCCACACCACCTCCTAAACATCAATAGCATATCAAAACAAAAACAAACCAACACACACCACCATCCATCATAAAACTCCAAACCCGACATTCAAAACCCAAAAAATCACAACACACTCCCTCACTCCTTCATAAAAAAAATAAAAATAAAAGTTGGATTACGGCTATCTACCAGCTACAGCAGGGAAATTATAACAATATCCCCCATCTAAAGTGATCCGCAGATCATCAAGGGCAAAGGCTGCTATCTAGGCTAGGCTAGGCTCGTGGAAAAGAGGTTCCGGGGTTACATCCCGACCGATACCATCACATCCCGCAAGGTAGCGAAGTTGTAAGGATTCTCTCTCACCTTCTAGAAGACTGCTGTATCGATCTAATACCATACCTTCAAACACCCACAATCCCACTCCTCCATCTTTCTACATCCTACTACAGACTCCAATTACTCGCCTAGCCCAAGAAAGAAGATCACCATCTAACCCCCCCAGCGATCTACCCTACCAGCCTACCTGATTCCCTCGGGAGATTACTTACATGCAGCACAGCTGTTGTACAAACATTCCGTATTCCAGAACACAGAATTGCCCTAATCCTAACTCTAACAACAACACCTAAGCTAAATTAATCAGTAATATAATAAGCTGGTGAGTTTGTTGGCAGTTCGTTGGCAGAAGACAATCTGCTCCTTTCATTTAGAGAGATTACAGTACCTACATCACATTATAAGATTACCAATTACCAATATGAGCACAAATTATTTTGTTTTTCCTTTTGCTAGGTAATCACGGGATGCAAGGTGTGACCCATCAACGAGGAAATAACCCAGCACACGACAGCCGAGATGGCTTTGGCCGTTTCTCAATCAAGTACCAGGTAGAGTAAATAAACGAGCAAAAGCATTTGAACGGCAGGGCGCAAAAGGAAAAGATTACGGAAAGATCAAAAAGAGAAAAAAGACGATTCTATGTGTAACCGTCAATATTCATTGAGCGGCGGCCTATTCAGTAACTTCCTCCAGTAATGCATGCCATCCTTCCCACCCCATGCCCAGTGACGAAGAAAAATACCTGGGTACAGAAAAGACGAATAACTGGGGGCCCAGAAAATCTGTATGATATGCATGTGCTCCTTCTAAACTTCCCCTAACGCCGTATTGGTGCATTCTCAAGTCCAAGTCTTCATACTCGAATCTTTGATCTAGCTCTCGTCTCCATCCTCGAAATTGTTGTAATATCCATGATCAGCCCACCGCCCACATCACAAATTCGTCTCGTATCTCCATAATCCATACTAGACAAGCAGTATATCTACTTCGCATACTTCTTCGTGTACTCCCTAGCCTCCTTATCAAAAGCCGGACGATCATTCTTGAACTTCTCCGCCGCACTGCTCTCCACCGCATCATCCGGAACCGGCTCAACCAACAAGTTCTGTGTGGCGGTCAGGACGGAGAGGATCTTGCTCGAGGGCTTCCACGCCTCAGGCTTGAGGATCCCGATACACATGCTGCCGTGCTCGTCGAAGGTAACGTTGGGGTGCCAGATGCGGGTCTTGAAGTTGATCTTGGGGGGCTTGAAGGGGTAGTCGCTGGGCAGGACGAGGAGGAGGGTGAACTTTCCGCCCTAGAGAATGAAGATTAGGATTTTAGATGTGTGGGATTGGGTGGGGTTGGTAACGAACGGCGTATGGAGAGCCTTCTGGTCCATCTAGGATGACGTTCCAGTTGTGGACGTTCGACTCGTCTACCAGGCTGACATGAATGCCAGCTGGAGGGTTTGCGGTGACTTCGGCATACTCCTGGGATCGTATTAGGATTGTATATGCTTGAGAGACGAATCAGAAAATATACCTTGGTGATTCTCTTCTGAGAGCTTGCCATGGTGGCTGGATGTAGCTTGTGGAAGTAGCTGTCAGAACACGATACAACAACGTCACAGGAACGAGGTCGGCGAGAAAAGTAAAGATGTCGTGTGCCGGGTATCAAGTACTTTGGTACGTGACTGTTGTTGACTGGGTATGGGTTCGCAGAAATACGAGAAGACGTAACTGGCGGGTTTTTGTAGTAGACAAGTACAAGTAATGCAAGTACCTACGAAGGGTAGCAGAGCAGAGCAGAGAAGGCGCCGACTAAGGTTGCGGGGTTGCATGAGAGGCTGCAGGGGTGTTGAGGCAAGGCTGTGATGTGAGTGAGGATGGTGTGGGGCCAGCATAAAGCTTGAGGTCGTGGCAGTGTTCCATTTGAACCGTTCGAACACCCTCCAAGAGGTGGATGAATCGTAATCGCAAAGAAGCTGAAACCAGACAGAAATATGGCCAACCAGAGTTACTCATAAACTCGTACAAGTACTGTATGGGAGTCAAAAGAAGCCACCCAAGAGTACTGCCAGCTTCCTCGGAATCCCTTTATTACATGTATTCTAGCAGAATCCAGAATCCATATGTTGTTGAAATGGAAACTCTTCAAGGTCTGTGAAAGATTCACCTCGCGATCACCAATCGAATTTGAAAAGTTTTGATTATTACCGTGACCATACATTCTATTCCCTCTGCAATACCACCACCAATCCCATGATCCCCAGCATGACGGTCTTCAGCCATGGGTGTTCACTCAACATAATCGTCACATATCCAACCAACGGTATGTATGCCACCACGCTTCCAATAATATCCTTCCGCTCAATGTAATCCTGTCCTCGGGCATATAGCTCGGTATCGTCTGCCACATTGTTGTCTCCTTTCGTAAGTAATTTGGCGCCCTCCCTAAAAGGCAAAAGTCAGTAAATGAATATATCAAGGTATGAGGTATGCAACCCATATCATGGCTTCCACAGAAACAAACGCGCCAAACTCACCCAGTGCCAAACTTCCGCACCAATCGATGAACGATTGGAATATCCTTTCCCTTCACGTTATACACCACAATCTCGCCCACCTTGGTATCCTCGAGCAAATTTCGGTTCCATAGGAAGAGTAAATCCCCACGCTGGAAGGCCGGCTCCATGGACCCTGAGAGAACGACGACAATGGGTGAGGGCGAGTCGGCGATAACAGATAGTCCTTTCCACATCATGAATGCCGTTGATAGAATCAATCCGAAATTCAGAATTTGGGCGGCGGCTTGCCGCGGATTTCCTAAGGCGGATAACATTGTGAGAGATGGTAAACTGGTGGCTGTAAGTGCTGCTACCAAGTAACAGGCCGATTGAATGTGCGCGTTGAGAATGGAAGAAAAGGCGAGCTCAATGTTCAATCTCTTAGTCAATGGCGGGAATTTGTGAGGATCGTGGGAGACGGTGATGGCGTTGGTGAAGTCGATTGTCGCGAACTCATCGAGCAGTCCTGAAGGTGTTGAGGACACCTGCACTTTCGCAGTACCTCCGTACTGGGTCGGTGCGACTTCGGGGCCGTTGCGGATCGGCTCCGAGCAGACTCCACCTGGGCACCATTCAGAGCCTCCTGCGAGCCTCAGTGGAAACTGCAACCACCAACCACTAATTTTGATTGCATCGGTTAAGTTTGATCAAGACATTAGGAAGATATTTTACTTGCCAGAATGAGATTAATTCTATCGCTATCAAAAGGATAGCAATACTCAATCTGCCTATACCTATCCAACTATATGTTTTACAATTCATCTTTCATATTCCTGCCATCAACAGAGCGTAGCGAATACAGCCTCTACGGCCGTGGCTGAGCCCTTTTGGTAGTACCTAAGGATTCCTGGTTTTCTTTTTGGGTGAAGAGTTCGGACTCCGAGCCTTGCGAGAGCCAGCGGAGCGTCACCAAGAGGTGTTGGGGAGCTCAAGGAAAGAGTACTCCGTACTTTGCAAGAATTTGAGGCTGCAGGTGCTATAGGTGACGCTCCGCTGGCTCTCCGAGGGCCACTGCCGTGGATTCGCTACACTCGAGAGCATGTGCATGTGGTGACACTCGGCTAGGTAGAGTGTTGAAGGGATGCTCGCTTAGTTGCTCCTTCCGTACAAGTGTCAATAGCATTCTGTACCTGCTACCTGCGTCGAGTAGTCCTCTTCAAGGCAAGAGCGGTGTTTGGATTCCCAGAACAGCGCTTTCCTCTGGCTCTTAGTGCAGATCATGGTATCCAGGTACTTCTTCTCCCTTCGCCCACCTGTCTCTCGTTCTTCTCCTCTTTTCTACAACAACAGCCTTCCTCCTGTTCTGTGTACATTGCCATCGCCATCCCGGCCTCAAGATTCTCTCGTGCTCATTCTCCAACTCATCACTTGCTCCTCTCGACGCATCAGCATCCAATCGCGCCCGTTTTGGCTTCACAGTTCCAGTTCGCTTTCCTACAAACTACTACCAACACCACTGCTCTTCTCTCTCAATCCCTTCCCTTCCTCTCAACATGTCTTCCTCCACTGCTCTCCTTCCCAAAGACCGCAAGAACAATGATCATGTAAGCCTCCGTCTCGCTCTTCTCTCCTGCTGGTCATGACATCGATATCAACATCAGCATCGTCTGCTAACCATCTCGTCGTACCAGCCCATCTTCCTCCGTGTCTGCCATTCCCCATGGGTCAGCATTGACCAGAAGTCGTTGCTCGCTCTCCGTTTCGTTACCGCCGTTTACTTGAGCTTCAGCTTTGTCATGGTCCAGGACTTTGAGCACAATCAACAAAAGCGTGGTTGGTTGTCTGTCTTTGATTTCGGCAACATTGCATACTTCTTGCAGGTTCTATACCACTGGATGGCATTTGTAAGTAATTTCTGCCTCTTTTGATTCCTCCCTTCGTTGGGCAGCTTGCTAACGTTAGAGGCAGAGCTGGACTTTCATGCACCTCCACTATCCTCACCACGGTAGCCAAGAGCGATCAGCCTCCACTCTGATGCAGAAGTTCTTCTCGCCCCCACGTCAACGCAACAACTCCACCTGCGGCAACAATCGTGTATGGTTCAGCGTCTTCTACTATGCTGTCCACAGTTTCCCACATGTCGTTACACTGATCCAATGGTCTGTTTTGTATCCACGAAATCACACCCAGGTTCCTGGTAGGTTCCACGCCTCTGGTTAGATAACTTTGGTTTTCTGACTTGCTTCACAGCTGATGAGGTATTCGGTCACGGATGGTTGGTCAAGTTCTTTGTCTTCAACAAGTTCGCCGTCAACTCCGCCATTGCCTTGATTGAGGTCTTCTTCTTCAGCAGCATCAAGCGTGCCGACGTAAGTATACCTTGTTCTCTTCTGAGATGAAAGCTAAAAGCTAACTCGAGCAGTCCGTCTGGGCTCACATTTTCGGTATCACATTCTTGTCTTCGGCCTACGTCGGTTGGTCATATACCGGATATGCCGCCACTGGTAAATTCGCCTACTACTTCTTCGATCACAACAAGGTTGGATGGGATGATGCTTCCGCTGCCGTCATGGCTTTCATCGCCTCGGCCAACTCTGGTGAGCCAATTGAGATTTCGCATGTACATTCAACTTTTACTAACGGTACTAGCATTCGTCTTTGTCTACGGCCTCACGTCTTTCCGTGAGAAGCTCACCACGCAGTCTGAGCAAAAGAGCTACGGATACACTTCTCTCCCTCAATAAGGAGTGACTGTGCTCCAAGTTGCTCGTCTCCGGGTGCTTTTGTCGCGTAAACAAAATGCATTGGAGCTGTCGTGGTCGACTGAGAAGATACGTGGGATTGATACTTTCGTTTATTGCTGGGTGGTTATGGTTTCAGTGAAGAAGATTGTGTTTTGAGAACTGGCTTGGGGTTCTTATCATCGTTATGCACTGTATTTGTAACCTGCATTCAGTATCATCAATGTCAGTCATTCGATTCTTCCTTGACGTTCAGTGGAGATTTGTACAGGTGATTGATCAAGGTCCAAGTGTAAACATCTTTGATAAGATGAAAGACATGATCGTCTGGCAGCAATTTTCGTGCCCACTCAATCATGGTATTGGTGTTGATACGCACGTATTATCATAGTAAGCTTGAGCCAGAGACTGAATAATGAGGGATACCACATGATGAGAAAATACCTTTGCAGATGATATTGAACGATATTGATTTTGTATGATGGCTGCAACTGTGCAGGTAGAAAACAAGAACGTAGATAGGATATCTGATCCCTTTTTGAAATGTCTATAAACATGATCGAGCTATTGCTATCCCAGATCTATTATCAGTATTCATCTCTGCTAACTCGACAAGACGAAGCCTCCAAATATCTTCTGGGTTTAATTTCACCACGCCTCCTTTGTCGGTATTCCGCCTCGCTGCTCTTGAAACGTAAGTTATGTTGCCAAAGGGTCTGGTATTCTATTTTGGGGAGGAAAATAATCTTTTGATCTTGACTTGAGTCGCTTCGCGCTTCGCGAGTGGCATTGTGAAATAGGGGGAACTTGAATGAGCTCAAACGGCTTGCGGCTTGCGGCTTGCGGCTTGCGGCTTGCGGCTTGTAGGTACGATACAAGGCCTTGAAATATTCCTCTACCGCCTGAGGCGTTCTTTGGTTGGCGCGCGTTCAAGCGTGTCTCACAAAGTTTCTGTAGGTATGCTTAAGTATCTTCCGAGGAAAGTGAGCTGTCATCTCGCTTCATTGGTTTGTTGTGAGGGTTTCTTGGGTGCTTGCTTATGGACGCGGGTTGGATGACTTTGGGCTTACTAGATGGTTTGTTTATCTAAGACGGTCGAGATAACGGAGCGCACGTGGAGGACTGGACTGGAAAGGGGATGGGGGATGGGGGAGTGTGGTTGGATGGGGATTTTAGGGGATGGAAAGGCTACTGGGTGGAATTCTCATATGTACAGTAGATTCTGGGATACTTGAGAGGTTTCTAGGATTGGAACGTTATGCTTTCTGTTTTTGGAGGGTTCTTGTCGTCTTGTGAGATGGATGAGATGTTTGGGTGCGGTGATTTTTCGTTATGTTATCGGGTGAGAGGTATGGATGGATGGATGAATCGTTATGTAACTCCCGTTCCGTCCCGTCCCCTTTCTTGATCTACACTACGAGTACATGTACAGTCTATAATTGAACAGCAGTATACGCCGCATCATCGCATAAGAAACCTCCCAACATACACCCACAACCCAACGCCAAAACCACAATAATAACCCGTCCAAAACTCAAGGATATCGAAATAGCATTCTATGCCCCTATCCTTATTTTTGACTTCTATTCTTACGCTGGAAAATCATCAATATGTTACCTTCGACATTTCGGAGAGATGTTGGGGTGTGGAGGGCGTTGCTTACATCCTTGATTAACGGGAATGGGCGTGAGGTGCGCAGGAAGGTTTTGAGGCGCGATAGGGATGTTTATACTGATACAGATTTGGATGGTCGGGAGAGAGAAAGGCTGGCTGGTGTGAGATTTGCTGCTGGGTTACCGTTTTTGGAGAATGTAGAGGGCCTATTGCGGCCTTTGGATTTGGACGCCTTGCGCGTGGAGTTGGGGATGGGTAGATAGGAGACTGAGATGGTTTGAAGTTGTTGGCTTAAGGTGAGTGGGATGGTGGTGGATGTGGGAGATGGTTATCCGCTCAAGCTAACTGTGGAAAGGAGGGCTATGCATGATATCCTTATAAAGTATTTTAGTTATTTTTGGTCTGCGGTGTTGAATCACTGCTTCGTTATGAATATAGAGTAAGTAGGCTGGCACTTGGCTATATAAATTTCAAGTGTCCCACATTAAAGGATGGTTCTTCCCCGATTCAATTGCACGTAGAACATTCATACTTATCACCTTATCATGTATTCAAATCTCCAAAGCCAGACCTCGTCTCCTAGCGAATTCACTCGCATGTCTGTCAACCAAGCGACCGCGCCTCATCCCGCTATAGACCTTCTCCATCGCATCTTTGAGGACCCAACACTTACCATTGATCAAAAAAAGCAACTCCTAGAGGAAATCATTAAAATCACACGACCGGAAAAAACACACTCTCAATTTAACATCAAGGAAGTTGAGTACTCGAACTCAGAGTCTTCTTGCAACACTTCCCTGAAGAAAGTTGACTACTCGCTACCAGAGAAGAATGGTATCCACGGCCTTCGCTCGATTCGACATAGGATCTTCTCGCTATATCGGAGGTTGTTCACGCTTGTTATTATTGTCAATTTGGCTACGCTGATTGGGATCATGGGTTCGTCTAGAATGAGGAGATTGGAGTATGTTGCTACGGCTGTTGCGTCGAATTTGACTGCTAGTGTGCTGTTTAGACAGGAACATGTTGTTAATTTGCTTTTTTGGATTGCTTGCTCCGTGCCTGTTTCTGGTGAGTCTTTTCTCGATTCTTTCTTCGCTGAGGAGAATGGAGGATTGTTAGGATTCTACGAACACGCCTTACAAGTCCGTAGATGAAAATAAATTAGCTGACTTTGGTATAGCACCTCTTTGGATTCGAAGGAATTGCGCTAAAGTATACCATATCGGGGGTTTACATAGTGGATTCGCAGTCGCTTCTTTGACTTGGCTGCTCGTGTTTACAGTGTTGGCGACGATTCAACGAGCATCGCCTGCGGTTCTGACGCTCACGTATATCCTCGATTCTGTTTTGGTGACAATATGCGCTCTTGCTCACCCAATATTCCGAGTCAAATACCACGATCATTTCGAACTCACCCATCGTTTCGCTGGCTGGACTGCTCTAGCGCTTTTCTGGGCACAAACTATTGTTCAGGTAGCTGATACTCAAAAGAGTACCGACCGCAGCCTTGGATACCTGCTTTTACGAACACCGAATGTTTGGTTACTTGCTGTGGCGACAGGGAGTACCATCCTCCCATGGGCGAAGCTCCGAAAGGTGACAGTCAAATCCGAAGTCCTATCTTCTCATGCCGTACGACTGCATTTCGACTACACCACACCATTCCCAGGAACAGCTGTAAGGATCTCGAGTCGCCCACTTCTGGAATGGCATGCATTTGCCACGATTTCCAAACCAGCGTCTCCTACACCACCAGCGGTACCCAACGAATTCACAAGCACCGACGGCAAGGGGTTCTCTCTCGTCGTATCTAACGCAGGAGACTGGACGAAACGCCAAATCACCCACCCTCCCACCAAACTCTACGCCCGCGGCATCCCAACCTGCGCAGTCCTCTGTATCGTCCCGCTCTTCCACTCCATCCTCCTCGTCGCAACCGGCTCAGGAATCGGCCCCTGTCTCCCAATCCTCTACCGCTGTGCAATCACCCGTAAACTCCCGCCAACCTCCAAGAGGCGTCACATCCCACTACGCGTCTTCTGGAGTACACCCAATCCACTCCAAACCTTTGGACAGGAAATCCACGACGCGATTTTGGATGCGGATCCCCAGGCTGTGATTCACGATACGAGGACGATGGGACGCCCGGATATGCTGGCTGTTAGTTGGGGGATGAGGGTCGAGAGTGGGTGTGAGGCTGTGTGTGTCATTTCTAATAAGAAGGTTACGCAGAAAGTGGTTTATGGGATGGAGGCGAGGGGGGTGCCTGGGTTTGGGGCGATTTTTGATTCGTGAGGGGGAGTTTTTGGGTGAGGTGGAGAGGAGACTCTTTGGTTGGCGTCAATTTTGGAGGGGTGGTTTTTTCACTAGATGGGAGCTGGTTTCCCGTTGGTTCTTTGGTTTGCTCGCTTATTGGGTGGGGAAAGGGGGGTTTCTTTGTTTACTTTGTGTGATTGTCACGTGACTACTTTCTTGAAATCTTCTTCTTCAAGTTTTTAGAAATGACGCTATTATGGGGTTTGTGATTTCGTGAGTTGATGAGAAGAAAATGGCCAAAGCTTAATAAATTTTGAGTGTGGAGAAATAAGCTTGAACCTGGTTTTCGTGGAGAGGCGCCCCCCCCCCCCCCCC